GCTAAAAAAGATGATTTTTTCAAACCCAGCCCCATCTAAACTATAAGATTTAACAGGGGTTGATAGCCAGGGCTAGAAAAAAGTTTATAATACTTTATATATTATAGTTTTATGCTTACATTAACTATTTATTAAATACTGACATATATTTATATATTTTTAAACTCTAATTTACTTTCAACAAGATTGCAAGCAATCACTATTAAGTTATGAGTTACTTAAACATAGAATAAGTATAGTAGAGAATAAGTAAAAATGCTAGGAAATGATTAACTGAAGAATTGAAAAGTTGTAGGTTGTATATAAAAGAAAAACATGAAGATGGCTAATAGTTATAAGGTTTTTTAATGTGCAAGGAAAAAAACTGGATTCAGGCCTTTTCGTAAGAGGCGTGCGATCGCACGCCTTATATGACCACGCATAAAGTTCTTTGTTTTAACAACTTGACCACAGCTCTTGGCAAATTTTGATAATTTGCGTGTTTAAAAAATGCGCAAAAAAAAAAACAAAGCAAATTAAAATTAGAATAAACAATCCATAAACTGAAAAGAAAATAAAACCCTTAAAATAATATATAATACAAAAATGAACCTAAAAAAAAAAATATTCAAAGAATGATAAAATAAATAAAAACCAGAAAAGAAAGCAAAACATTTATTAACTAATGTAAACTTAATTGTAAACGAAAGTAAAAAAAAATCACAGCTTTAATAATCTTTATCATTCCTTCCCTTGAATAATTAGACTGATACAAGGGCAAATCCATTGTGTGGGAAAGGGCCCCCCCTCCCCTCAAATTTTTTATTTATTATTTTAGAAATTGATGTTTAAAAACGTAAGTAACTTAGGCTGTTTAAAAGTGCCATGAAATTTAATAAAATTTTGTGGTGCAAGTTTAAAATTTTATTAAAAAATTAATAGGATACAGGGTGCGACAAATCGACAAAAGTGCGCGCATATGAAAAACAATTAATTTCACAGACTTAAATTTATGCCAAAACTTTATAAAATAGCGTCACTTAAGTAAAATAACTAAATACGCTATAGAAAAAAGTAATTATGTTTTAGCATGGTTTTTGCATGCGCTCACAAATACATACATAATTTTACTTAAAATGAATGTTTTTGCAAAAACTGAGAAAGAAACCATACTCAAACATTTCGATTGCTTTCTTTTATTGAGAAAAGAGATCAAGTTTAATGATGGTTTCTTTTATGCTTTTAGCAATTACATTAAAAGTTTAAAACAAATATATTCATTATAAATAAAATTTAGCATGCTTTTTTTTAAATTTTCTTATTTTCCATAAAGTGAAATAATGTTTGATTGCATATTAAAACTTTTGCACTTTTAAAAGTTTTTTTATTGTGCATTTATCATTAATTTGCGCGCACTTTGCAAATGTGTAAAAAAAAAGGGTAATGAAAAATAAAAATTAAATAAATTTACCAGGCATCTTTGATATATTTAATAACTTATTAACTAGAATTATTTGAATTTTATTTGACATAAATCTCTTAAATTAAATGTTCATCAATAAATAAAGATACGAAAGTCAACGTTCATTAAAAAAAAATAACGATATGTCACGCCCTGGGATAAAAAATAGTTGGCAGATGCGATTGTTTCAAGATTATTGTAATTTCTTTTTTCTAGTAAATAATTTCTTAATTAAAAATTATATTTCCATGATAAAATGGTATGTAATTAGCTAAAGGATGCAACTTGTTGAATAAGAAATAAGCAAGAATGAGTTTTGGTTTATCGTAATATAGATGATAGCTTGTTTGTGCATTGACCATGATTGTATTTGTAAAAAAGAAAAACAAAGCAACCTTACAACAATAGGGTAATGTCTCAGGCTTGGCAGATAAAGCAGGTCTAATTTTTTATTTTTTTTAATGTTAATTCACCTCCCCAAGGGTGAAAATACCACTACAGATGAGGAGGCTACTTAATTGTGGTTATAATCCTTTCTCAACTATATAACTCTGAAACACGAACCTTGACAACCAAGACCGCTGGGCAGAGAAACATGTTGAGCGCGGTACTACCAGGGACTTAGTGGGGATCGAACTCGGTACCTCTCGCTTATGACGCGAGTGCTCTACCACTACACCATGACCACATTACATTTACAATGTGCTTTTAGACTTTGTCTGAGAGTAAGAGGGTTGTTATTCATCAATATAGGAATACCAACATTGCAATATTTTTTTGCATTAATTAAATGAGTTTTGTTGGCTAACAAAAATTGCAGATTTCAAGTCCAGAATTTAAATCCATAATCCATCCACAGCAAGCATTAGGCTGTTACAGAAGCGAGCTCAGATTAAAAATCAGCTGCTTGTTCTAAGCAATCAAAAAGTGAAGATTTTTTTGTCAAGACAAGAGTATAAAGTTGAGACACCAACAAATAGAGCCACTTTAGATGTTAAATTTTCATGAAGATTGATATTGTAGATTAAAAAACAATACAGCAGCAAAGATTTAAGGGTACCATAAGATAACCCTTAAAGTTACTTGAAATAAAAAATGTGTAAGCCTTCAAGTATAACTTTATTACTGCAGTTAGTAAGAAATTATTTAATAATCTCAAAACCTTTATATAAAGAAACTAATAAATAATAGAGTGAAGACTAATCGTATGATAGTTAAAGAGTAATCGTAGGAAATCAAAGTGTTTCCTAGAGTTTTGAAAAATTGGAACCATTTGTTTAGCACTTTTGAAAAATTAAATAAATTATATAATTAATAAGATTAAATGTTAAACTTTAGTTAATGACATTGTTGAAGACTAACCAAAAGCCTCTAGAACCTAATGTCTGATATAAGATACAAGATTTAGTAAACTGAGAATAACAGAGCTTAACATCAGATGACACCTTTTAACATTGGCTTCTTGGAATAATAAAAGGACATTTTTTCTTAAGAGAGATTTTCTTGTAAAAAAGATGAAATAAATTAATAAAGCAACTGTTCAAGATGGTGAAAAATATGGAGTAGAATTAGGCTTCTCAGATGCGTTTTATGCATACATATTATGGATATAAATATGTATTTGCTATTTATTTTGATGCTGGCATACAGTATCCTTTCATATTTATATCAACTATAGTATTTATATGGTGTAGTATTTGCCGAACGAGAAGATAATGATGAGGATGATAATGATGATCTTGATCATCATAGTATTATATTAATAATGATTAATTAATAATGGTTATTAATATTTATAACATTTATAATCAAAATGAAAAGTATATAAGAAATATAATAAGATGATATATAAACTATTTGGGAAATTAAAAACAGGCAAATAAAAGTTAAAAAAAGTTAGAAAAAGTGTTTACAAATGACTGATAATTTAAAAAAATATTCAGTTATCTTTTTTTTTAAGAATGTTATCTAAAACTTATTGTTAATAATTGCAATACTTTTTTTTTTTTTTTTCTTTTTGTTTTTCAACCTTTCCATATTTTGTTTTTTTCTTCTTTTCTCTACTCATTATATTTCTTTATTGTTTTTTCTTTGTGGGAAGTGATTTTTATTTTTTATAAACTATACCTTTTTTGTGACTTTTATAATCTTTTTTTTTTTTTTTCTTACTCATTTTTTATTTGTTCTTCTTTACTCAAGTTTATAGTTTTTTATTTTCACTAATAAAAAACATATCTGTCATTTGTGAAAACTTTGCAATATAATCCTAACAAATAGGCTAATCTGTTTAACTAGAATTGCTGGAAGGATATGGCCATTAAATTCAAGAGTCAAATTAGAGGAAAAGTCCTATGCAAATAACACTGCCTTATTCTGAGGAGAAGTAATAAGATCTAGTCCATGAATTAGAGATGGAATGTTAGACTTACTTTAGTAATGACTCTTTTGAAGATTTTTTAAAAGTTTCAGAACCTAAGAACCAGAATCTGAGATAAGATTTGAGAATAGAGAATAGCGGAGCTTAAAATTGGGCAGGGACCTTTTTACATTGACTTCTTGCAATAATAAAAAGACATTTGTTCTCAAAAAAGATAATCTTTTAAAAAATATTTTTAAAAATGATTACAGTTTAATATAGCAACAGCACAAAGTGAAATATGTGGAGTAGAATGAGGCATACATAATATAGATATATGGATATAAGCATTTATGATTGCTAGATGTTGACGTACAAAATCTTTACCAAAAGGAACCATAATTTTAGACAGAGATTAGAAAAATATCAGAAAAATTTGTCCGAGTAAATTAAAGTGGTTTGGGTATCAGCATGTAGAGAAGTAGCAGCTTCAGGAAAAAATTGCCAGAGGGAGAAGTAAGAAAGCTGGGAGAGATTACATATGGTATTAACGAGCTGTTATTAAGGAACAAAAATGCTTGAGATTTTTTATATTAGAGAAACACCATGAAAGAGGAAGGTTAAATGATGATGATGATGATGATGATGATGATGATGATGATGATGATGATGATGATGATGATGATGATGATGATGATGATGATGATGATGATGATGATGATGATGATGATGATGATGTTTATCATAATGATGTTTACATATAAATATACATGCGTATATATATAACATGAATTTTGAAGGAAAAAATATACTTTAACGTATCAATGTTTATTCAGTCTAAATCACAAACCCAGCCACAGCCTTGGCAATTTTTATCAAACCGGGCCCTGTTATAAGAGCAGCCCATCTGCAAAACACGCTAAGTCACAAAAGTTAAAATTTTTAGTCAATTTTTTTTCCAGTCTACATACTGAAATCTATCATCCATTTAAATATTAGATCAGTTGAAAGTTTTTTTTTTTAAAAAAGAAAGCAAAGAAAATATTTATTCTGTTGATGCGCAACTATTAGTCTTTCAGTTTTTCATTGTTTTCTCAAAACCAATTTTGTCGGACTTTTGTAAATAGGCTTCTCATAAATGTTAATTTATTTTCATTTTGATAAAGTTTCAATGGTGTAAATATAGTTAATTTTTTAATTTAGTCCTTTACCCCACAGTTTTAATGGTTGCAATGATGTTTGCTTGATAACTAAAGAGCCTGGGAAAGTCGTAAAAGCAGCCCTTAGAGAAAAAGGAGTTGTCTCAATTAAAAAGGTATCTTTCAATAGGTTTAATACTTTCAAGTTATGGTATACTTTAATGGTAAAAATAAAATATTAAAAAAAAAATTCTTCAGGTTATAAGTCTAACAAAGTTGCGCAAAGAGTATAAGACATTTCAACTCAAGCGTCAATTGTTATCTTTATTTGATGTATTTCTCTGCGATGACCGCATTTACCCGTTGGTTTTAAAGACGCTAGGAAAAGTATTCTTTAAAAGAAAAAGGTAAGTGTATAAGTAACTGAGAGCTTTGAAGATTTAAACAATTAGTTAATATACAACTTTTTTTTAAGAGAACCAATTCCCGTCAATTTGACTTACCCAAACGTCAACGTGGAAATACAAAAATCGCTTTCGTGTACTTTGTTAAGAATGGGCCATGGGCCAAGCAGGTAAAATAATTCTTTTTTAATTAGTTATTTTATTAGCGGCTAGCTAATGTTTTGTAATTTGTATTTGTATTTTTTATTCTTAGTGCAATTAAAATTGGTAGTGTGAAATTGCAAAATGAAAAAGAACTTCTTGCCAATGCCATACACGCAATGAAAATTATTCCAAATAAAGTTCCTGGTGGATGGAAAAACATAAAATGTTTCTACTTAAAAACTGCATTATCTATAGCTTTACCTTTATACCAATCTTTACAATTTAAGCCTAAGCGTCCTTCAGTAAAAAGTTCATCAAAAGAATCTTCGGATGACAAATCAACAAATATGGTTGATAAAGAAGAAAAAGAAGAAGAACCTAAAAAGAAAAACGTTAAAAGAAAAAAGGAGGAAAAAACTAAACAAAAAAGCAATAAAATTAAAAGAAAACTATCCATCAAGTAGTTTGATTCTGATGTTATTGAAATGCATGTGATGAATATTGAAATGATGTGCATGAAATATAAATGTCTTGCAACTACATTTTCAAATTTTAAAAAATGTTCCATTAATATTTTCATAAATAATTTTTATTTTAGCCACCCTTATACTAAAATTTTATAATTAAAATCCAAAATGCATAAAACAAAATAAAAACAACTTGAAATTCGCTCATAGAATAGAAAAAAACAATTGTTTTACTCAACATTTTTGGTTCTCAGCTTTACGAGAAAAAAAAGTTGAGCGATTTTGCTCTAATTTTTATTCAGCAATACGCGGATTTAAGGTGAGTTTCCACTCATCCGTTTTTCTACGGGAAAAGGAAAGGAAACGGAAAAATAATCACGTGAGCAAAAAACTCTTATTACGCATGCTCACGTGATTATCCCGTTCCCGTTGAAAAACGGATGAGTGGAAACTCGCCTTAATAGTCTCAGTTCCGTTCCGCAAATTATCTTAAAATTGTTTAGAAAAGTAAACATTTATAGAATTTAAGAAAAATTTGAAAAGCAGAATATGACATATTGATATTACTTTGATATAAAATCTTTAATATGATTTTTTTTTAACGCTAAATATCTTTTCTAGCCAAATTTATCACTAACTTACGTTCGAAATATTTATCATACTATCTTACTTAAATTGTAATTTACGTCTGATGATGGTCTATACAAATTAGACCTAAATATCACAAAAAAGAAAAATTAGTATGATGCTGTTTTGATGTTTTACAACTTATTTTAACTTTACGTACTAAAAGAAATGACGCTAAAGCATTTATCTTAATTAACGATTTTGTGATAATTTACGGAACGGTACTGAGACTATAAACCCGTGTATTACTCCAAAAACGCTGAGTAAAAGGTATTGCCTTTTTTTATTCACTCGTCCTAGTGGCTCTTAAGTTTGTAGTTTTTCAAACTTGGTCCATTTTTATTTCAAAAATTTTTTTAAGTTTTGTTTTTAATTTTCCATACAAGTACAACCAAATTTTTAAATAGAACCATAAGTTTTTCTTTCAAAATAGTTTAAAGATAAATATGTGAAAATATATTTTTTACAGTTAAAAAATGTGATTATTTTATAATATATTTTGCTGGTGTTTTAAAACAACAAGCATTTTAGTGATACGCTAAAATTTCTTTTACAAATTTACATTTGTTGTTATATTTACATATATTTAGTAACTAAAATATATATTAACAAAGATGCAGTCTTCCTCATTTCAAGATCGCAAGTTCAAACTTAGTGAAGATATTAACAAAGTTCGCGAAGACATTCAAATTATGAGACAACACGATAGAGACCTTACTCGTCAATTCATTCAGCTTGGAAATAGCATAAGCCAGATGAAAAAAAATTCCGAATTTTATTTAGTAGACGAAAAAAATAAAGTTACGTTACAACTTTGATTTCTTTTTTTTTTTTTTAATTTTATAAAATTGTAAATTAATTTTATATACTTTTTTTGACTAATTTTTATAAATTTTTTGAATGCAATTTACAAAAAATTTAGTTACAATTTATATATTTTTTATTGGGTCTTTTTAATTATTAAATTTGTATATATGTGTTGTATATTTATTCTTTAAATTATTTATTGTACTTGCTGAATCTTTTCAAGAAGATTAATTGAGATTATATTACAGAAATAAAACGAAAAAAAAAAAATCAAGCTTGTATTGTATGGTGCAAATTAAGATTAGGTTATACAAATATATATAGGGTAAAAATTTCGCAAAAAACAAGGGGTTGCACCCTCCATCACCAAGTTCGCTGAAATTTGGTACAATTGTTTAAAGATATAAGTGAGGAAAGACTGTAAAATTTTTTCAAAAATATCTCAACCCTTTAAGATTTACAGCAATTTGAAGTTATTTTTAGATCCACAAAACGCACTTGTTAACGACAATATAAAAGGCCATTGACAACTATAGTTCTAGAAAAAATCTGACTGATAAAGAAAAGTTTCGGTTTTCGTTATTTTAAATATTAAACATATATCTACTTTGCGAACCAATTTTTATTTAGCCTTATGTTTTATCAAGGAGTTATTGATGTTTTAGTTTTTCAATTTTTCTAAAGATATTTTGCAAATATATTTTGAATACAAATACAATTATTTTTGTTTTGTAATAGCTTTGTAAAAAATTTACAAAGTTATTACAAAACATAGTTGAACATTTTAAAAATTTGTTTCTTTTTACTTTCATTACATAATATCACGTCATTAAATTTAACAATATTATGTAATTTTTGTTGTTGATTGTTTTGTTGTAATAAAACATTTATTATCATCAATAAAAAAAAAGCAATAAAATGATATAATAGTGTCTAATTAACATTACCATGTTAAGTTACATAGCTAAATAAAATTATATTTAGTTATCTTTTACTTTTACACAACTTTTTGTAAGTAGTTAATGGAGAATTTACAATAATTAGTAGATAGTTAAGCATTTAAAATATGTATATTAAACTAATAGCTACTTGTTCAAGCAATATGTTCTTTATAAATACATATTGATATGATATTGTTCTTGTTAAGGACATTAAGATTATTTAGGATTTCTTGTATTAAGTGTTTAGACAGAGATTCCTCATTATATTTTTATATGGATAACAAAATTAATTGCTGCTTTGTAAATAATTATGGAAACAATCATATACGCAAGAAAGAAATCTGATTAAAGATATTGACAGCAATGATCGTAAGCTACTTGAAAAACGAACAAATCTGAAACAAGAACAAATTACTAATATATGTACACACCATCATGATATGTTAGTTGTAAGACATGAGGGTAATCAGAAAAGTTGCTGTAATCCATTTCTGAGTCACCAAAAGGTGTGTAGAGGTAAAAATTTATATATTTATATTTCATTAGGTAATACCATTATTAACAAGTCATATAAGTTTTTTTGGTAATAAGATTTGTTCAATGTTTCATAGTTATTAATATAACAAATTGTATAGTAATATAATTACATAATATATATAGTTAATGTTATTTAAGTAATGTAATTACTTTCTTTTTAAGCATCTCTACGTGCGATTACAATGCATATTGTGTTAGAAGCAGAAACCATAGGTTTAAATCTTATACCTGGAAAAAAACTGTGTCCAACCTGTCGAAGTAAAGTTATGACATGTTTATCAAAAAGTATAAGTGAAAATAAAAATGATGAAGATTTTGATATTGTTAATGAAAAATCCATTCAAAATAAAAAAGAAAGTGTAGATACACACTTTGCCTCTGCCGGTGTATCTCCAATTAAGGTCAAAGGATTGCACAAGTCAGGTAAAATCAGAGAAGGTAAACGAAAATTGATAGCATTAACAACCTCCATTAAAAAAAAGGTAGCCATTTCCCTTAATATATCAGAAAAAGGTTTTAAAGAACAGTCAAATTTTAATAATGAGTATTTGGAAAAAGCAAACTTGTTTGATAACATGATCAGTATGGTAGAATTAGCTCAAAAAAAACCCAAACCCGGAAAAAAATCATATAAAGTTAGGCTTTTGCACATAGGTTAGTTAGCATGTCAACAATGACCAAAAAAAAAGCCCCGTGTTTTTGAGAACAGAAAATGTCATTTTGGGCCCATTTTTCAATCAAAAATTTGGGCAAAATGACTAATTTTTTTATATCACAAAAATTATAAGTTTTATATATCATTTAAAAGATAATTTAATGCCGAGTAAAAAGTTTGGTTTAGCAAAGTTATAAATATGTATGGTTTGTGAGTTATAGCTGCTCAAAGTGGGAATTACGACGTCATATTTTTTATAATTATTTTTTTTGGAAATCGTAAGCATGATATAACTTTAGAAATATAATTTAAAGCTGAATAAAATAGTCTCAAACTGTACATTTAATAAAATTTATTAAATGTACAGTTTGAATGAATAGTTTTTGTTCTTGAGAGAAACTTTTCGATCAAATTGTGTTTAAAAAAAGACATTGCAATGAAAATATGAAATTTAGAACAAATATAATTCTATTCAAATATATAAAATAATATAGTATTACTATTATATTACATTCATATATTTAAATTTATATATATTAATATTATATATAGGTATAATACTAATATAAATTTAATACTAATTTAATTCAGTACAAATATAAATAGAAAGTGTGTAAAGAGATGAATGAAACTTGTTCGCTGTGTAATGGTAATTTTGAAAAGTCTCCATCAGTTTCAGTAAAAAAGAAAGGACTTCAAACTTTAAAGAGAATCTGCAATCAAAGAGGATTATTCGATTTAAATATAAAAGATAAAATAGTATCAAATGCTAATAATAAACAGATTTGAACAATATAGCACGTTTGCATTAAAGTTGTACGGAATTACCTTTATTTAGATATTTTGATCAAAAGTTAAAAGAAAACCCAATCGGAACTGCTCTTGTGCATCATGATTGCAGAAGAAGATTTGTTGATAAAAGAAATACAAATATAGAAGTCGTCCCAATAAAGAAACTAAGATCATCTTCAATTATTGATGTACGTTTCAATTGGAAATCCTGTTGCTTCCTATGTACCAAATCAGCTGACGGTAAAAACAGTACTGTTACTCAAGTGAGAACGTTACCACTTCGAAATAAGCTTCTTAACCAACGTAAAAGTAGAGCTAATGAATGGGGAAGAGAGGTGTTAGGTTGTTTATCAAGTTGTAATGATCTTGTTGCAGAGGAAGCAGTATATCACATTCCTTGTATGAACAAATTCAGACTTAATCTTCTGACTGGAAATAAAAAAGGTCGTCCAACAGATGATTTGATGCTTCTTAATTTTTATAAGGTTTGTGATTGGTTAGAAAAAGATGCAGATTGTGACCTTTGCACATTAAACGAGATGCACATTAAAATGTTAGAACTTAGTAAAGACTCTCCATGTTATTCCATTAAACATTTGAAAAATAAACTTGTAGAATATTATGGTAATCATATATTTTTTGCAGAAGCACCAGGTCGACAAAATCTTATTTGCTTCAAAGACATGAATTGGTTCATTATGGAAAGTTTTAAGAAAAAAGAAGAAAAAACATCCGGTGACATCATTGCAGCCGCAGCAAAAATTATAAAGAACGACATCAGAGAACTTTCTTGTGATAAATCTAACTACCCTATAATTGATCAAATGGACGATTTGAATTATGCCAAAAACTGGGTTCCAGCAAGTCTTCTCAACTTTTTAAAATACTTAATTTCATCAGAACTGAAGCAAGTCAGTATTGGCCAGTGCATTGCTCAATGCTCTAGACCAAAATCAATGGTTGCATCAATTCCTTTTGGGATTGGAGTGGACATTGATAAATCGTTTGCAACAAAATGGCTTGTTGATCATCTATCTAGACTTGGATTTAGTGTTTCTTCTGATGAAGTGAAGTTACTTAAAGAATCAGCTGCTGCGGAAAAAAGAGATGCAATTGAAATGCCAGAACATAAGTTTACACAATGGGTTGCCGATAATGTTGACCATAACATATGCACTCTAACAGGAAAAAATACTTTTCACGGAATGGGTATAATATCAATTACTCCATACTCTGTTCAAAAATCCATCGCTGTTAAGCGCTTGAAGCATAAACAATCTTTTTGCTTTAAAGATGCAATAAAGATACTACCTTATCATGGATCAAGTCAACAAGGGTTATCAAAATTAAAATTTAAGGTTGTCTGCAATTTGTGATATCTCAAGCCAAAAGATTTGACATTTCTACACCATGTATTACTTTTGATCAACCACTGTGGTTGAAAGCTATTGGAATTGTAAAAAATGAAAACCTGAACATTGTGTGCAGACTTGGTGGATTTCACACACTCATGAGTTTTCTTGGAAGTATTGGTAAGCTAATGTCAGGATCTGGACTTGAGGAATTCTTCGAAGAAGTGTATGCAGAGCATACTGTTCAACATATGTTTTCAGGAAAGGCAGTTGCTAGATCTCTTAGAGCTCACATCATAATTCAAAGTGTTTTAACAGTTTGTTTAATGGATTTTTTAATAGAAGAAAGTAGAATTGATCTTGCTGGTTTTATACCTGCCTATCAAAATGCAATAAATGATCAAGGTATGAACAAGGAACAATTAATTGAGATAGGAAATAGCGATATTTTCAAACAAACTAAGAGTGCATTATCTGCTTTAATTGAGAAAAAGAAAGCTGAATCGCGTACAGCCGCATTATGGCTTTAGTATATGGAATATATTGACGTGGTGAAGGAATTTATTTGTGCAGAAAGAACTTCAAACTGGTATTTACATCTGCAAGCCGTGAAGAAAATGCTGAATTTATTTGCAGCAACAGGTCATGTAAATTATGCCAGAAGTGCTAGAATGTATTTTCAAGAAATGTTAACTCTTTCAGGGACTAACCCTTGGCTTCATGATAGGTTTATAGAAGGTGAATACGCAGTTCGAAGATCAAGTAGATATTGGGGTGGATTATGGTCAGATCTTGTGATTGAACAAACGATCATGCGGTCCCTTAAAACTAGCGGTGGGTTGACAAGAGACCGTGGTCTTGAAGAGAATGTACGCCTCCTTTGGGTTTCAAGTATTAATTACACAGCTGCTGTTCATGACGCAATGACAAATCTTACAGGTGTTAAAGTTGGAACTAGTGAGCAGCATCTAGAAATGGGGTTCACACGTAGATTAAGCGATTATGAAGATTTCCAAAAATTTTATGGTTGGTTCGAAACAAGAAACCCTTTTGAATACGAAGATACTCACCTTCACTCGTTATCAAGTGGAGTCTTTTCGGAAATTAAAAAAGACAATGTTAATTGTGAAAATTCAGAAGCTATTGGACTAGCAATTCAAAAAAATCTTGACAATATCAGTTTTACAGAAGCGAAGATCAAGACAAAGAATCAACTTTTCACACTTGAAACTTTGACAAAGTGCGCTAAAATTGACGATAAAAACTCAATTTTTATCAAATCAACCAAACTATTTACAAGATTAGCTGCAATTGCACAGAGAGAAGATGATGTTGAAAGTTACTTTGATTACGAACTCACTCCATTTCCACAAGCTTTGTTTAAAAATAATCTTATGCGGAAACCTGATAAAGCCTCACTTAGGAAATTACTTCTAACAGAGGAAAACATTTGCTCAATAGAAAAATTGGAAAATTGTTCTTGATGGAGGTGCTTTATTGCATCGTGTGCACTGGGTTAAAGGAACAAAGTTTAGCAACATATTGTATGGATATGCAACCTATGTTCAGAAAAACTATGGCAAATGCTTCATTGTATTTGATGGATATAAGTCCACGACTTCAATCAAGTCTAATGAACACATTAGAAGAAAAACAGCTAGTGGTTCTACAAGAAATATAATCATCAAAGAAGATAACGATGTTTCATACTCAAAAGAACGTTTTTTAGGTAACGCGCACAATAAGGAGCAATTGATATCGTTCCTAGCAGCACACCTCACCAAGGATGACCATACGGTTCATGTATGTGAAGGGGATGCTGACACAAAAATTGTTTCTACGGCTCTCGAGGTTGCAAAAGATTTTTTAACAATAGTTGTGGCTGATGATACAGATGTGGCTGTAATGCTTCTTTACCACTGGAATAAGAAGTTATCCGACATTTTCTTTCTTCAGGAACACGGCAAGAAATGTTGGAGCATTAAAAAATGCCAATTAAAAGTTGCGGACTTCAAGGATCATTTGCTTTTTGTTCATGCATGGAGTGGATGTGACTCCACCTCAGCAATATTTGGCAAAGGAAAAGCAATGTTTTTGAACTCAGTCAAAAAATCAGAAAGTATGAAGGAGATATCCGAAACATTTATGGACTACTGGGCAATAAACAAAGAAATTGCAGAGTCCTCAGTCAATGCTTTCAAAGAATTATATAATGGACATCAACAGACTTCATTAGCCAAATTTAGGTTTGTTCTTTTTTAAACATACACAAATTTTTATTAAACTTTTTTAAATAGTCAAACTGCTCCTAGCATCATAAGACATTTGTTTTATAGGATTGTCTTTATATTTAAACAAATCTTTCTTCAAACATTAGATATTCAAAATATCTTGAAGCATTGTGCAAAGGTATTGTTGTTCCTGAAAAACTACCACCGACTGATCGGGTTGCTCATTTCCATGGTTACAGAGTTCATCTGCAATTAATTGAATGGAAAATGCTAGACGAAGGATTAAATCTAAAACCTACTGAATGGGGATGGAAATCCACTGATGGGCACCTTGAACCAATTCCAACTGACAAAGAAATAGCTCCACCAAATTTGCTCAAGGTCATTCGATGCAACTGCAGATCTAGTTCAAAAAACCAATGCCAAACAAAAACATGCATTTGTAGGAAAAATGGAATGAAGTGTATGGCAGCGTGTGGGGGTTGCCATGGTATGGAATGCAGCAATAAGACAGTGAGACGATTTTAATGAATTAAATTTATAATTGATTAATTTCTATACAAATAAAAATTAATTATCTGTAAGTAAAAATTCTAATATCTTATTTTAATTTAATTTAGTTGGACATTGAGGAGGAACATGAAAACAGTGATAAAGACAGCGATGAAGAAGAAAACTCTAAAAATATTTTTGATGAAATGTTTTAAACATCAAAATATTATCATAATAAATGAAATGTCTTTTTGTGTCTTAAAACATATATTAATTATGATATTATAATCATATCCATATCATAATTATGAAATGGAAAATGCAATAAACAACGTTGTTAGTAATAAAAACTTATTATGGAAAAGTTGCACCGAATTCGAAAAAAGGCAGACAAAAAAATTCCCTAGTCCCTAAAAGTATAGGGCCTAACGCTATAGCCCCCCCCCCCCCACCTAGTTTCAGCACTAATATTTTTACGTTATGAGTTAATAAAATATTTTACATAGCGTTAAATTCTATTTCTAACGGCATACCATGCTTACGATTTCAAAGAAAAAATATTTTTTCAAAATGATGACGTCATAAAACCCACTCTGAACAGCCATAGCTCACGAACCATAAATTTTTTTAACTTTGTGTAAGCAAACTTTTTACGCAGCATTAAATTATCTTTCAAATGATATATAAAACTTATAATTTTGGAAATATAAAAAATTTAGTCATTTTGCCCAAATATTTGATTGAAAAATGAACCCAAAATGACATTTCCTGATCTCAAAAACACGGGGCTTTTTTTTTGGTCATTGTTGACATGCTAACTAACCTATGTGCAAAAGCCTAACTTTATATGATTTTTTTCCGGGTATAACTCCAATTCCACCATACTAGATGGTATTGTTAACTAACAAAATTGCAGAGTCTACATCAACATCAAAAAAAGTACAACTTGCGACACTTGCTCAAACAGACTGGTCAATAAAAAAGCTCGAACTGCACGTAAGTTAACATTAGAAAAAGGTATTTTAACCATGCCTAATCCTAAATTAGGAAAAGCTCTTCCTAATGTAACAGTTCAACTGGTCAAGATCTTTTACGAAGACAATGAACATAGCTGTATAATGCCTTGTAAAAAGGACTATGTAAGCATAAAGAAAATGTCCATATGCAAAAACGTTTGCTCTTATGTAATTTAAAGGAATTGTTTGTTTCCTTTAAAACAAAGAACCTAGAAATAAAAATAGAATTTTCAAGGTTTTGCACCTTGCGACCTAAATGGATACACCATTTAGGTCGCAAGGTGCCTCAGGAACACATTCTGTATGCGTCTGTGCTATTCATCAGAATTTGAAACTGCTTTTACATCCTCTTGGTGTGACATACAAAGAATTGTTACCTTATATTGTCTGTGATATAACTAATAAAGACTGTATAATGAGGAAATGTGAAAAATGCCCAGCAACTATGAATGCATTGGTTGAAAAACTTTATGATATACTTGGAGAATTTGAAGATGATGATGAGTTTGAATTTGATCAATGGACAACATCAGATAGGTCAAGCTTGACACATAATAAAGAGCCAGTGTTTGAATACATTGTACTAGAATGTAGAAAACTGGAAAAACTTGCACCACATTCGTATTTAGCAAAGAGTCAAGCATTATACCTGATTATCAAGAAAGGAAGATATTAATGAGGTAACAGCATTATTTCTGGATTATTTTTCAGAAAACTATAAATTTGTAGTTCAGGATGAAGTACAAAGCTTTCATTGGACAAATTTACAATGTACACTTCATCCAGTGATTATTTATTTCATAAAATAAGGCATTCTTAAGCACAAATCCTATTGTATTATTTCGGATATGATCCGCGATGTGAACATGGGTTATAAAATTATTGAGGTTGTTTGCAATGATATAAAAACAAATTTGCTTCAAATAAAAAATATTGAATACTTTTCAGATGGGTGTGCAGGTCAATGTAAGAATTGCAAAAATATGTTAAATTTTGTTTCCATTGTGAAGGTTTTGGTTTTACTGCTAAATGGAAATTTTTTGCAACTAGTCACGGTAAGCAACCTTGTGATTGGATAGGTGGTACACTCAAACGTCTGGCAACACTAGCAAGTTTGCAAAGAGATATGGGTAATCATATTTTATCTCCACAAACAATGTATAAATATTGCAATGAAAACATTGAAGGCATAGATTTCATATATATTTCATCAGAAGATTTAACTTTGGTGAGAACCGCTCTTAAAGAACGATTGGATACTGCTAATACAATACCTGGAACACGTAGTTACCATCAGTTTGTACCACTTGGCCATCAAAAAGTAAATTATTATTTTTTAATTATACCTTTTACCATATTTTAAAATACATGCATTTTAAAATATCCAGATAACAACTGTAAACCTAGTACCAGGTGATTATGCCTGTGTTTCCTATGAGCAAAAGTGGTTATTAGGAGTCATTGAAGATATTAATTTAGAAGAAAAATATGTGCTTGTACTATTTAGTCAAAGAGAACTTAAAAAAAAATTATTTTCCTAAGGAAGTAGAGGTTTTTATATTTATGTGTCTATTATGTCTTATCCATTCTTTTTTTAAATATTATGTTTTGTGAACCAACTTGTAAATAATGTGAATGTAAAGCATATATAAAATCACTAAAGTTTAGTATTTAAAAAAAAAAAATTATATACGTTTAAATTTTGTTGTAAATATCATATGAAAATGAAAAAGATAATAAAGTCACTAAATTTTTAGTTTTTAATTTGATTGATTGGTAAAAGGTGGGGTTATATTAAGTGTCTAATTTAAAAAATATTAAAAAATTTTGTGTCTATATCAAACATCAATAATTCCTCAAATAAATATAAGGCCAAAACAAAATTGGTTCGAAAAGTAGGTGTTGATCTTATTTTTAAAAAAATCGAAAGTAAATTTTTTTTACATCAGTCAGATTTTTTTTATAGCTATAATTGTCAATGCCCTTTTTTCTCGGCGTTATAAAGTGTATTTAATGGATCTTAAAATAAGCTACATTCCCTTATTTTGACATATAAAAAACTATATTTTTCGGATTTAACAGGTTTTAAACTCTTTTGGTACAAAGTTTCAGAATTGTGGCATCACTACAAGCACCATATTAAGGTAAAGGCTAGAAGCACCATATTAAGGTACCATATAAAGGTAAAGGCTACACACCATACAAAGGTAACCCTGAAAGGTACACACCATATAAAGGTACACACTATATAAAGGCTACACACCATATAAAGGTAAAGGCTACAAGCACCATATTAAGGCACAAAGTAAACGGAATGATTTTCGGCATTTTTCCCCCCTCAGTTTTTAGTCAAAATCAAGTAAACTTCAAATTGCTGTAAATTATAAACGGTAAGGAATTTTATGAAAAAAAAATTACAATCTTTCCTAACATATGTCTGTAAACATTTGTGCCAAGTTTCAAAAATTTTGGTGATATAGGGTGCAGATTTGTGTTTTTTTTTTGTTTTTTGAGAAATTTTTACCCTATATATATATATATATATATATATATATATATATATATATATATATATATATATATATATATATATATATATATATATATATATATATATATATATATATATATATATATATATATGTATATATATATATATATATATATATATACATATATATATATATATATATGTATATATATATATATATATATATACATATATATATATATATATATATATATATATATATATATATATATATATATATATATATATATATATATATATATATATATATATATATATATATATGTATATATATATATATATATATATATATATATATATATATATATATATATATATATATATATATATATATCAAATTCCTCCTTAAAAGCCTTTTTAATCCTTTAAAAAAAAAAAACCTTAAAAGTCCTTATATTTAAGGACTTTTAAGGTTTTTTTTTTAACCCTAACCCTAACCCAACCTTAAAAAAAATTAAAATTTTAAAGCTCTTCTTTTTTTCTTATTATTTTTTTTAATCATTTAGTTAATTTTATTAAAGTAAAGTAAATTATATTTGTTAATAAAGAAACAAATATATAATTCTTTGATCGTCTGCAAACCTACACTTCTATTATACACTGTGCGATATAATGATAAGACACCCCAAAAATATTTATAAAACTCTACTATACATTTATATTAAAAAACTAATTTTTATACCAAAAGGGTTAAAAGACTTAACAATAGTCACAAAATTAGACACAAAATTTAAAGACACAAAATTAAAAAAAAAAAAAAAAGCCGCAGTACATTTAAAGGTTCTACCAAAAAAAAATTTTTAGATCCCTAAGTGATCAGGAAGAGCTACATGTAAATTTAAAAATGTTACGTTCCAAGCCTTTTTTTTTTCTTCGCATTATTTTTTTATTTTCACATCATTCAGCAAGTTTTCAAAAACATGTGTCAAAAACTCAAGATGTTTTTAAAACATTTGTGTCATTCACAAATATTTTTTAAAAACTTTAACTGCACCATAAACTTAGGGTTCTAGGAAAAAATCCTCCAGGAAAAAATTCCCCCAGAAAAAATCCCCCCGAAATTATCCCCTGAGAAAAAATCCCCCCGAGAAAAAATCCCCCCGGAAAAAATCCCCACAGGAAAAAATCCCCCCGGGAAATATCCCCTAAAAAAAGAAAATTTTTTTTTACATAAAAATTATCAATATGCAGTTATGTTTATTTCTTTATTTATTTTAAATATTTATATAAAATACTTCATTTTTCATCAAAATGTCAAGTTATACGCTATTCCTCAAAGGTAGCGAATGTGAAACCCTAACCCTAACCCTAACCCTAATCCTGACGAACTGCGAACTGGTAAAATGTGAACTTTTTTGCGAACCATCGTAGTTAATTTAGCGGTATATTTTAAGGACTTTAAAGCGAAAAAAATATTAAAAAAAAAGTAAGTGAAACTAGACGAGAACAATATGAAAATATATATATATATTTTAATTATTTTATAGACTGCCTGCCCAACCCAAACCCTCAGTCGATGTAGCAGCACTCATTTGCGAGTCAGGCTATTTGTCAGTCGATGTAGCAGCACTCCGTTGCGAGTCAGGCTATAAGATAGTCGATGTAGCAACACTCCGCGCATGTTTTACAGTTAAAAAAACAAAAAATTTATTTTAAATAAAACTTTAAAATAGAGTATTAGGAATTGGAGAGTTTTTTTTTATTATTATTTTTTACCGACAACCGAGAAATAGCGCATAACCTTACATTTTGATGAAAAATGAAGTATTTTATAAAACTATTTAAGATAAATAAATATAACTATTTTATTGATAATTTTTATGTAAAAAAATTTTTTTTTATATTGGGGGGATATTTTTTCCGGGGGGATTTTTTCCTGCTACCAAACTTAGTGGATTACGTTTAATCACTTGACAACTTTTAATTTATTTATTATCTTACTTTAAACTTCGATTTTTTTTTTACTGTTTACATATCCGTATAAAATATTGAAAATCAAAGAGAGGAAAACAAAAAAAATTAGCTATAACGCTCGTAGGTCTGTTTAC